ATTGTTCGTGTACAGTTATTTCTAACGAGCTGACGTGTGATCAGTAGGGCTTTCAAAGGCTTTGTCTATTATCCTTACTAAATAAACTGAAATAAAGATTAATACCTCAATGCGTTCAACTAATGTTGCCTCCCACAAATCTTTTAGAGCACAAAAACCGCGAAGTTTGTTTTCCTGACGCGGTCGTGGACGCCTTCCAACATGTCAGAGGGACCCTTGGGGATACAACTGCCCTTTCTCACCCTCTAACTTACGTCCTGCTGTGAATTTTCGGTGGCGCCTCCAATTGCGTCATATGTGCAGCCCTCGAGCAGCGGACCCCAACGGGCATTTAACCCTCATCCTTATACTTCACTAAACTGACACCTCCCTAAACTCGTTATAGCACTTTTAATAGAGGCCTCCTTGCCATATATCTCACCATTAAGAATTTTTGTAACCATGTTGAAGACGGAGCTTTTTTGTTCACACTGATCAAAAATCTCTTTGTTATGCCTTCTTCACCCGCCCTCTGACAAGTATTCGCCCCGCGACGCCCACCATATTGATTGTATGCCTTAATATACCATGCATATTGGATGTATTAAAGGACTCTCTGATCAAATTGCTGACCGTCCACCCCGACCCGGAATTAATAGATTACTCGTCCTTTCATCGACCTGCAGCTAAAGACCGAGCTGCAGCAGTAGCAGCCGAATTTTTCTGGACAACTAGAACATACAAGGCTTCAAATTAAAACCATACCTTTGTAGGCCACCCGCAGTACAATCTCCTGCGATGTGTCTCGCGGTAACTCTCGCACTATAGTACCAAGTGAGATGCGACGAGATGTTTTCATCGCGTTTCACAATATCGTCCCCTCTGGCATCCGGGCTACTCAGCGCCTCGTCGGTGATCGTTTTGTCTGGTCCAGCATGAACATTGATATCCGCCGATGGACCCGCCAATATTTGGCACGTCAGAAGGTCAAAATCCGACTTCGCACTGAAGCCCCTATTGAGACCATCCTTTCACCCGATCACGTTTTGCACATGTGCACGTAGATCTCGTGGGTTCTTTGCCAACATCCCATGGTTGCAGTTTTTTGCTCACTGCTATTGACTGAGCTACGCGATGGCCCATCACTACTCCGGTTCCAAACATCGCTGCAGATACTGTCGATCGTGCCTTTTTAGAACACTGGATTTTGCATTATGGTGTCCCCACAACTATTACCACCGACCGAGGCCAGCAGTTTGAATCTAGACATTTTAAGGCCCTTACTGACTTCCTCGGATGCTCACGCATGCACATGACAGTCTACCATCCCTCATCCAACGGTTTAGTTGAGCCTTTCCAGCGCCAACTCAAAACCTCCCTCCTGGTCTATGATAACGCTACTCACTGGAGTGAGCATTCCCCTTTGGCCATTCTTAGCATCCGCACCGCGCTAAAACCCGAGTTAGAGTAGTCCAATACTGAACTTTTCTACAGGACTACCTTACGTATTCCCTGCAACTTTTTCGGGCCATCCCAAAGCTTCACCGATGGGGATGGTATTGATGGTGTCAAATGATCTTGCCAAGCAATAGCTAATCTCGGGGCCATCAATCCACGCGTGTCAGCAAGCAAGTCATATATTGGTCCCGACTTGTTAGCAGGTTATTTTGTATTTAACTGCCTAGCTAGTACACGTAAGCCACTATAACGGCCCTTGGACGAACCATTTTGAGTCGTGTCGCGCACGGACAAGTATTTCAAAAGCGCCCGTGACAGTCACACCGAAGTGGTATCAATCGGCTAATTAAAGGGGACCTGCAGCGGTCCTCTTTCGCCCACCCCAACAGATCAGCCTTCTTCCCCTCCCACAGTGCTTTCTTCGATATCTCAGCCGCCGCTTACATTTGATAATGTGCATTTTCCTCCCCTCACAGTCCCATCTCCTACGCGCAGCGATCGTCGTATTCGTTTTCCTGGCCGTTACCACCTTGTAGCTTATGTCTAACGCTTGTCTAATTAAAACCCATTTTACACATTCGAACTCCGTTCTCCTGGGAAAGGCAGTATTATAGTGGCATTAAAAACCGTCCTGTTTTAGTGCGCCAAAGGTACGACCTGCAAAAAAACGTTAGAACGACGTTAAAAAAACAATTTATCGTCACACCGTATTCTTGCGCTTACTTAGTTTTTTTAATAATCCTTCTCGCAATAGACCGATTTATATCTTAATATCCTTTCAAAATAAAGCTCATTCCTTTCCCTAGTCTACAGTTTTAAGTTGGTTGCGGTCGACATTCATTCGAGAAGTACTGTATTGAGCCTTGGGTGACGGCTGGTGCATGGCCACCGATTTGTCAGTATTGATTGTCAGGCCGAAGTGAACAAAACCGGCGTCGAAGAGGCCCACGCTCCGTTGCGTGCCCTTTTCGGTCACAGTGTTGATGCGCAGCCGTCTGTGAAGAGGAAGTTAAAGGCAGTAATCGTAGATAGCCACGTTGGGGCCCGCACGTGCCGGCTATTGAGAAGATGCCCGTCAGCTCTGTAGGCTATGTGTATCTCAGGACGCTCATCACGGTAGTCGCCCATCAGGATGGCTGTAAACACGAGGCTGAGGATGGTGGGGACGAGTACGCAACCCTGTTTCACTCCGGTAGTCACTGAAAATGCCTCAGGGACTGCGCCATTGCCCGTGGCGTGCGCCATCATCCCTCCCTGGAACTGATGTGCCATTTACGTGAATCATTAAGGACAGTGGAATTTCTGCCGGATTTTTCACAGTCCCTCTCAATTCACCGCGTTGAGTGCTTCTGTCAGGTTTACGAAGATAGCTTAGAGGCGGGTTCGCGTGTTCTCTTACTTATTCCATAACTGGCAAGCGCAAAGACCATGTCAGTGGTCTCGAGATGTCGTCAGATGCTACAGACTTTCCGGCAGTAATCCTTGCTCAAGGTGGCTGTTAATATTATTGGGGAGAAGGCGATCAGAGGTCCTCCCGGAGATGTTGATTAGCGAGACGCCTCTGTGATCATTACCGAGCTACGATTCCCTTTGTGCTTGTGCAGATAGACGATAGTCACATCTTTGACGTCCTGAGGGACCTATCCCTGTCACCATATATCTCGCAATAGCTCCGTGAGTTGGTCCATCAGTTTATGGGGGGCGTGCTTGTAGATTTCGACTGGGATCGCATCGGAGCCTGGTGCTTCCCCACTGGATGAAGGAGATTCAGGTCGATGTTGACTTCAATTTGAAGGAGCTGGTCGATGGCGGCGACGGAGATGGTTGATGAGAGTGGTTGATGGAATGCCCTCCCAACGCTTCAGAACCCGCGACTTAACAATTAGAAAGGACCTTCCATCGGAGCCGGGAAGCGGGACGGTTCCGTTGGCGATGGAACCGTAGATTAGTTTGATCGCTCCGCAGAAATTCTTTTATTAAATGCGGTCTGCATAATCTTGCGTTTTCTCGGCCCTGCAAGCCATCCGGGCGTCCTGGATTTCCTGCAATCGCTGCTGCACATGGCGGTGACATTGGCAGAAGACCGTTCTGTTTGCATCGGTTAGGCGGCCAGTGCAGGCTTTATGCAGCCTGTCCTTTTTAGCGAGCAGTTTGCTGATGGCTGCGTCCGAGGATAGCCGGGATGCTCGAGTGGACGGCATCGCCCCGGAGATGTTTCCATCTGGAACTCGCAGGTCTTCCGGCGGCTGGATCAGTTGGTTAATCAGGTGTGAACAGTGAGTAAGCAAGAACAACAGAGCGGTATCTAAGATAACCAAAATTAGATTGCTTAACAATAACCAACTGATCGTCTTTTGTCCGTTTATATGCATAAACAACTGTTTATGGCAGACTGCTCGGCCTCGTCACCGCCGGACTTTCGGTTCATTCCTCTCGAATGCAACAGGCAGCTTCGTCTGAGGTCGACAATCGATTCAACAACGATTCTTGTCTCATGTCACGTTTTGAGAAATCTTATCTTATTTGGCCCTTGAGCTGTATATAATGAAGTAAAACGCTCACGCAATGGCTATTAAAAAAGCAGGATTTGTGATCCGAGTTCGTTAATAAAGAAAGACAACCGCCGCAGTGATTCGCGTTTTGTGTAATTTGAGAGCAACTTTGATAAGAAATGAGACCGATACACTATCTTCATATCACCATCCCGGTTAACATTCTTCACTGTGCAATTGAAATGTCGATGTGTGAAGACGTAACCGTGAAAACTGAAATGTTTCATGAGTATGAGGGCGAAGTCTTCTAATACCTATTCGGGAAAGTTATGATGGGGCTTTTGTGCTGGATCGGTTCTAACCCCACTGTGTAAACAAAGGTCACAAGGTTGCACCAATAAATTGGGGTGCGGCATTCGAACAATCAAACTGAAAGGTCGTGAAGGAGAAAGAAACTCAGGTAGAACTTGTTTTGTTCATAAACAGGGCCCAGAAGATGATAGAAAGTCAAATCACAACACCAAACTTCCAGGAGAGTACTGAATGCTTGCTTAACGGATATGGAACAGATTTGAATTGTATTGCATTTGGCCCTAATCTTCCCGATGACGTGCAGGGAGTACGACTTCCTAGATGGTGTCATAACGAAGATAGTAAGGCTGGAAGGCGCATTCTTCCAAGATGTACTTGGAACTGCGAGAAATGAACCCTGGATACATATTATGAGGCAGTTATATACGTACTCTGTTCGCGGTCGGTGATAATTTCATGAACTTGAAGAGCACTGGAGTGAAACGTCTTGTTTTAATGGGCATTTATAATCCTAGCGGCCGTGTAGTAATTTTTAACAGCAGGCCTGCGTCTTTTAGTTTTGCCTCATGTTGCAAGTTAAACGCTTTGTCGACAATGCTTAGTTAAAAATATTACCGTAAAATATTTTGATACGTGTATGGCAGGTCTCAATGCCTGTTAATGGGTCCTGCCATGTGGTGGATTGTCAGCATTGGTAAGATCATAGCAACGCGGGTTGATCATAGTTAACCTTCTTTTAGAATAATGAACCACACCCCAATGAACCAACCACTAATTTTGCCGACTCCGGGATACGTTTTGCCCTCTCCGGGTCTTAATGTTTTCTCTCCATATCAGCCTGCTGCTGGCATCGGGCCAGCGTTCTCGCTCATGCCGCAGCAGCATGGCCTACCATCTCCGGTTGTTGCACAAAACAATTCCAGCTCGAGCTTCTTCATGCGATTTGCACCAAATCCACAAACATCGCCTCCTACGGGACTGTCCACCGAGGGCTCGCCGAACACGGAAAAGGACTTTAGAATAATTACGTGGGAAGAGTTGCGACATTTATTTCCAAAACCTGGTCCAGAAGGCCGCGTTGAATCAGGACTTCTGTCTGACGGCAGAGCCTATGCCCAGAAGACAGCAAAGCGTGACAACTACTTTCTTTTTCCTTCGAAGTCGGCTTACATTTTGTATTTCATGTAAGTACCTATCTGCCCATCAGTCAAGCTTGCCTATGTGCCCTTTACGAGCACTTTAGTTCTAGTATTTCCGGTGCCGCTAGATCTAGTAAGTCGGGGTGGAACTTTCTCCGGTCACTTAAAAGTCCATGATTTAATGCACACATAAGCTTATATATACTAGCATTTCCTGCTCTTCTCGTAAGGCCCTGTCTAGTAATAAAGAATTAGCCTCCATTTCAGTGGGAGAAAGTGGTTTTGTTCGTACCGGTTGTGATGTGAGGAATGCATGTGTCAGCTTATGACATTTCAGCCTCATTACCGCCGATCGGTCAACAACTGGACTTCTTAAGGAAGTGATAGAAATTACCGAGTTTCGGAAGTCTTGACTAAGGCTTTGACCCTCCATGTTTCTATGAGGTCTGTGAACTTTGACTACGGGCAGCTGTGCATTCTATGTGGGAGGTGGAATACATAAGCGTGCTGCAAACTTCCCACAGAAATAGGCCAATTCTATACAACGGTAGGACGTAATCTGCGGCCTGGACCGACCAGTTTGCCTTATTACCGTGAGCATTTTTGTTAATTTTGTGTGTACGTTAAATAGCCATTTCTCTCACTCGTCATAACCTCCGCCTGCCCTTTATCTTCAAGAAGTCGGTGTTATTATGGTGCAGACTGATCCCAACCCTTTTTGTCTCTATTGGCTATCACCGATGTGAACGGTTTTGGTGATCAAAGTGCCATTTGTTTCCTTGCCTATACTTCCACAAAAGTGCTAATACCAAAATTGATACGAAGTGCCCCTGCGTCCTTTCACCACAGGCCACGCGTCTTCAAACAGTAGCCTTAGCATAAATGGTAATCTTGTGTTTATGGTCACTGTGGGGTCAATCGTAGTTGAACGTTAGAAGCTCACAACCCCAAAAACTAGTGGTTTTATGCTGCCGCCAGACCCAGAGCACCCGAATAATTACAATTGCTAATGAATATCCCAGGTGAAACCTGGAAACGCATTTGAAAACACTGCTGAAAGGAGTCCCATAAGGACCCAGCTAGTTTTCTTTTACAGACAACGGAGCTGCTCCCACTCGTACCTCGGCAACTGGAAGGAAGTAGGCTGGCTTCATAATTATGCTACGCAATTTTACATTGTGCTGCTTTAATAATGCCTAATCTGGCCGGTCTCCATTATGTTGCGGTTTACACTTCTTCACGCGCACTTACCTGTGCATTCGAATCTGGAATGCCGAACTTGTTTCCATATCTAACGAAGGCGACCAAGTCTCAGGGACGCGAAGACAGCCCACGTGTCTCGACGACCTGTGTTGGACCAGGTTTTTAATTTGAAGTTGATCTGTGAATTCCGAATTTTGAGCAGAGACCACTGAACATGCACTGGTAAGATGTTGGCGTTTTTAACACGACGGACTTGAGGCGACTCCGAACCCACAGAACATCCGCATCACCTAGGAACAGTGGCATAATCCTGGCGTTTTTGATCATCCTGCACATTGCAGTCAGTGACTGCTACGGTTATTTTCTGCCTATGCACGGAAATGTCATCCTCTGGACAATCAACAATCGAGCTCCATCTCCCTCCCTCTCGGCCACTGTAACAACCAATCGTTTAGTTTATAAAGACCTCCGTCTAATCAAGGAGCTGTGGATACCCGATCCGCACACACTGCCATCACGTACACCGATTCGGCTATCCGAACCCCGTTGCCGGTCTAAAACTGCTCCATGTCCAGCTGAGTGCCACACCCCACTTGTGTTTTCCTGCCCAAAACAGTGGCAGTCAGAAAAGGTAGACGAAAAATTGCTGACGCCTACTCCAAAATGCAGGACTACCAATATACACCAGCGATATCTTGTGATGCTACAGTTGTCAGAGAAGCGTTTGCCGTTTCGAGTTGCATGCGCTGTAGCCAGTGAAAGATGAAAGGGGAGAGTAGGTCAGACACCGAAGTCGATGGACTTACTTTCTTCAAAGTACGCCAAGTCCAGTAGTACTGGTACCTTCGACCGCTGTCAGTCCGCCGCAGGGACTAGGCTGATGTAATGGTGTCTGGTGAGGACTGCTTTCCAACAGCATTTTCAAGTGTTACCCAACCTTTAGGCCTCTGGGCCCAAATTTGGGGGGACAAGAGACCAGAATAAGGGTTAATTTTAAGCATCAGGGCTTATGCCCATTGGTGATTGTCGACGTATTCAAGTCTTGTGACGAAAGGCGACCGTCAATTGGGTCTCGATCGTGGTTCAGTGCCTCATCTCCTTAGATTGTCATCTGTCGCCATGACCGCTGACAGCACACACGCGTTTCGTGGGTTCTGTAGTTGCATTTGCCCATTTGGATCCACCGTGGCTAATAATGCTGCGCCCTTCAATTCAATTCGGAACTGCGGCGACTTGTTCAACTCGGTTACTGTAGAACGATAACAGAAGTCCAATTGAATGACGAGCAATTTGCCCCTTGCAACTTCTGCTGCTTGTCGAGACTGATTTTTTGACAACTCACTTAAACTACGCAATAAGTAGGGTTCTTCTATGTACGTCTATGGGGCACCCCAACGTCGTGTTCCGTCCTTGGCTTTTATTGATTACTCAAATTACGCTGTGATGTCAGCGAACGCCTGTAGGTACACGCAACGGTCTGTGCGCCGGGTACGTGGGAATGTAATCAGATTCAAACTAATTCGGAATTTGTACCGGAAGCCATCTGCTGGGTTGTAATCGCTATAGCTGTCGGCACAATGGCAGGGTAAAGTGGCGATAAAACGGCTCATCGTGGTCCTCGTTTGGTTCCACCAAAACCCGCGTAATCGGTGCGGCATCAGTCAGAAGGCCAACTTGAGCTCGCGTGAGCCACACAGACGTCGCATTTGCCGATCTATCGTGCTTTCTGGACAATATAAGGGCTGTTTGATTCGAAAATTCCGTCTATAGCCTCAACAGACCTTCGCATAGTCACGAACAATTAGTAATAGAGTAATCAGAAGACGAGGTGGCGAGCAACTCTAATAATATAGTCTTATCAACCCGGAAGAGGCAGACGAAGTCAGTCATCTTTGGCTTGCTGTATTTTATATTCAGAACAGGTGGGGGAGTGCACCGCGTGTGACAAAATGTTCTCGGTCATTGCCGGCTGGTCATGAACCTGTAGCTCGATAGCCGAGGGCTTATTTAATCACAAATGGGGTCCGGATACAAACCTGCGGTCATAGCCTGGATTTTGAATTGTTTAGGAAGTCCTCAAGCCTGGATCCGATAGTTACTCACGACTTCACCGAGGTAGCCAGGTAAATACCTGGACAACGCTCATATGCATCTCTAATTCCGGTTCGGCGGTTAGCTTGTAGTCTGACCTAATTTCACGCCTGAGTCAGCCGCCGATTGAGTGCAATACAGGACACTCATTTGAGAAACGTACTTACTTGTACTTTATACGGCTGCGCTCATGCCTGATCTAGCCAGCCTCGATGATGTCACGAACTGTACCTCTCCACGCGTGACGATCCGCGGCAGCAGGTCTGGACAGCTCAACCCATTCCCTTCGCCAACGACGGAGACCGAATACCGAAGGTCCGAGAACCACCTCCATGTCTTGACGAACTGTGTCGAGCCAGGTTTTGAACTGACCCCCTCTTTGACGCCTCCAATGGGGCAACGGTGCTGGATTGAGGACAGTAACACTGAGCTGCTGAGGTGGACGACGAAGAACATGTCCAAACCACCTCAGTCGTCTTTCTTGGATGGCCTGAGTTATCCTTGTGATGTTGTCGCAGCGAGCGCGGACTGTCTCATTTGAGACGAAGTCGGTGAACTTCACTCGAAGGATGATCCTCAAGCAGTGGGGGTCAAATACCTCCAGTTTTCGCTCGTCCTCTACACACAAAGCCCAGCATTCACAGCCGTAGAGAAAGACAGACGAGACAGATGTACGGTACAGTATAAAGCCAGCTGCGTTTGCCTGAACGAGCACTTGGAAGTCTTAGTATAAGTTAACAACTGACTAGAGGATTTACCTACGGCACCCAGCTGAATGTAAACTTTCGTAGGAGACCCGTTTTACACAGATGAATGTCTATGTCAGCTCACTTATTTGCGCTCGGTTGACCATTAGTGCCTTGATGTGTCTGAAGTTCATTGTGGCTAACTGCAATCGAATGCTGTTTAGCGACCCAGTTGAGTACGTCTATCGTGTTGAAGGCTAACACAGACTAAGCTGCCTGATGGGCCATGTATTTTTAATTATAAGGCCGGGAAACTTAATTGCATATGGAAGCGACCACGACTGTGCGGCTGTAAAGGAACACGGCCATTTCACGAAAGATAATTTACCGAATTTAGCTGTCTGTGACTCTTCCTATATCTCATTCTCTGTGAAGATGTATCTACGCTATGTGACGAAACTCCAAAGGATTAAAATTCCAAAATGTAATTTCGATTACGAGTTGCAGTGCCAATTATCGTTCAGTCCAATCGTAACCTGTTTCGTGTACGCCTTGATGCTGGGGTGTAAATGAACATATCCCCAGGCCCCTGCGAATATCAACTGGCGTTTTTTCACCGGTTTTCGATGTCCGTGTGGACTCGGTCACGTAGAAAGTGTGCGCATGATAATCTTCCATTTTACTTCTGTAATAATTTTCGTTTTCACGAACTTTGTACTTGAAAAGAGGTGTTTTCCTGCTGCGCTTACATTTAAGGTTTCCAAATGACACAAGCAAAATCACGTATCCCTTTGTGCACTTAGAAGCCACAGAGTACACATAAAATATATTACATTTCGTAAACCAAAGCACCATTAAAATACGTGCAGATCCGCTGTTACTATATAAATTGTTATAGTCTCGCATTTTTTTCAAAAATGACAGAGTAATCCACTTAAAACAAGTTCTATGATGGGAATTATCCGTGCATTCCTTCCACAAGATATGATCGAACATAAACATAGATCGATAATGAGTAGGAAAATGCGCATTTCTGAAGTAGCTATGTGTAGTTGGTGTCTTCTGTATGTAGCTGTAGAGGTGCTCGTTCAAAAGTCAGCATTTTGGAGTTTGTGAAGTGCCTTGTGCAATTGATAAACAAACTTGACGTCAAGTTTTCGGCGTGCAGAATATAAACTCCCCGACTTTCGCTCATAGTTATCTTTAACGCCGCATGCTACATTATCCGAAGCAACACTGACTTATTGCGTCGGCCATGCGGACCATATGTCAATAATAATAATAATAATAATAATAATAATAATAATAGTTGTATTGAGCGCCCGTGCGGGTAGTGTCACTGTAAGCCAGCCCAAAGGTAACCCATTTGTGTTTATAATGTCGACCGACGGATTGGACGCCCGCATACTGACGACGTCACAGTGCGATAAGGCAGTGAGAGGTGAAAATGAGTAAACGGCAAAAAACTTCGCCTAATTTTTTCAAAAAAGTTATACAATGGATGGGATTAGCGAGTTTTCAGGAGAAGAACTCGCCCAATGGAGGAAATGGGTTTATGAAACAGGAGCACCATTCTGGCGAGTTCATGAGGGTTCGAGGCGTTCCTCGCCAAGGGAGGATTCATAAACGGGGAAGAGTTTTTCTCATCACCAAATCGCCGTAAGTGCGACCATAACGCTTCTCGGCCGGCTTCAAAAACAACCAAGGTGGCGAGACAGGGGAACCCACTGCGATCGTCGAAAGTCTGCTTTGGGTTGGAAGAAGGGAACGTCAAAGACCGAGGCTGCAGGGGATAATAGAAGTGGAACAGGTTCGAGACTGGCTTTTGAGACTAATATGTCACCTTACCGCGCCAGTTAGCACTCTATAGAACGAACTTGTGCTTCGCCAGCGTTGTCTTTTTGGGTTCTCGGCTTGGCAGTGCGATCCGGCTTTTCCCCCTCCCACACCTGACGATTTTATCCACATTTACTGAAAGGAGCACAGGCATTTTTTCTTAACCGAGGCGCAACTTCCTTGCAAAGGTTCAGCCAAACGTTTTGTTTCAACACGGCAACTATGCAGTTAGCGTCTGCTGCATTCAAATTTCAGGACTCTGACCTCTGGAATTGGCAGAAAAATCCTAGTTATTCTTCTGGAACTGGTAGATTCTCAATAATCGTTCGCAGAAACATCTAGACTGGACGTAAAAGCTTACGTCCCAGTTACCCACTTTTAGGTTTTTTTTCCAGTTATCTCAGATAACTTCTAACTGAAGTGCCGCCAGAACACTGCATGAGTAGCTGAATCCCGCGGTTGCACCACGATAAGCCTTTGGGAATTCCTCGTCTAGACCAGTACTTGTGACTACGACCAGATGATATTTGCATCATCGCGTGTTTACTGAGTCACGCCCTAGTATTTTATTGGTCCGGTTTTGTTCGCCTCCCCGAGATTTGTAGTTGACCTTGAGCTCAGCACGCGTGTTGGTGCCTGCATCATCTGCTCGCGTTACTTACAAAGGCTCGCAATATGGGCTCATTTGGGCGGCTGCCAACAGTGCGCTGCCGTTCTCGATTAAATTTTTGTCCTCTATTGGGCCGTGATGACTTAAGGGAACTGATATACTTCCTTCGCTACCTATTAGTGTTTATATGTGATGGTAGGGGTGGGTTCCCACCTTTTGGCTTAGCAAATGGTGTTGGACGTATCGCACTGTATATTTTGGATGACTTTTTCGTAGCTGCCAATATTGCCTTTGACGTGCGCAGTGTTCTCGCTGTGTAATTCACCTGTACTTAATGCGCTCCAGTTAGCTAGGTTAATAACCTCTAAAAGAGTCGCTATCTAGGCACGATACATTTTTCGATTGGTATTCTTTGCTTATCTAAATTCATTCATCTACCATATGTACATACTGATTTTATCTGCAAAATCCGCATTTCGGGAAATTGTGTCTTGAAATTTAGTAGTTCAAATTGGGAAAGAAAATGTAATCATGAACAGTTTCCAGACGTCTGCACGAGTGATCATGCCGAACTTTTCAAATGGGAAATCCGCCCCATTTGGTTATTATTCGCAGGAACATCATTTGTCTTATGCATTTTTTCGAGGTTTTGTCCACACCACTTTTTGGTAGTGAAATCTAATGCATTGCCATTCTGAAATTCAGTCCTGCTTTTTGCCTGGTTTCCTCGCTTACAGCCACTACTACTTCTCCCGCGACAACCTCGACCGTGACCAGACGATACGCCGTATGATGATAGAAAATACAGCTGTTTCTGTCGATAAACTGATCCAGGCTCCTCGTTTGGCTTCCATCGGTACAACTGTGTCAGACCTGGAAGTTGCTATCCATAATAGCAATATTCTCTGCCTTGTGGACCTACCCGATGGGAAACGAGGCGTCAAACGCTACGATGGATGTGAGTTTATTGCCTACTTTTCTGCGTCCACAATGACCCTCATGTTGTGTACTTAATGTGACAGTGTTCGAGTTTGACTTGACTGGCCTCTATGATGTCACAGGTTGTGCTTCTCTGGACGCGTTGATTTCCGATAGGGGATTTAGATCGCTCGACATGCTCGTCTCCAACAACGGCGACCTAATACCAAAGGCCTAAGAACCATCGCCATGCATTGACGGGCTGTGTTGAGCCGGGTTTTGGGTTTTCTTTATTGTCGCATTGAGGTGGTCATTGACGTCAGATCAAAAATACAACACCGAACTCATGGGTCGGTCGACAAAGAACGCGCCCGTAGTTTGCCATGGATCTTCTCCTTGCAATGTCGCAGTGAGTTCAGACTCATCCATGATGAGTTCAGTGTACCTCACTCAAAGGATGGTCTTCAGGCAACGGTAGTCAAAGACCGTGAAGACTGCTTGCTGCTTGTGATGCTTGCGATATCAAAGCAGCGATTCAGGAGACGATATCGCCCCATACTCTTTCCATGTAGCAGCGACTCCGCCATGAGGTATTTGTGGCTATCCCTCAGGCTGACGACAATCAATCTCGAGGAGTGGTTTGCAGTCAGAAACGCAGCCCGAAAACGCTTGGTTTCCTGACTTTGATTTGTAATCAGACTAATTTAGGCACCTCCTTCACCTGCGACACTACGTTCTGTTGTTCGTCGTAGCTTAACGCCGGCAAATGTTACCGTTGTTGTAGTCAGTCAGCTGGTGCCCTCCTGCAAATGCGACATTATAGTCCGCCCGTCGCATCTGACGATGTCCACCGTGTGCTCCACAGCAAGATGAAGCAGGCACGGTTAGTTTTTAGTTAGGGTGGACTTGCGCGGCATCTATCGCACTCCTTCCCACCTGGGTCCGGCGTCCAGACAGCATCAAAAAGACCGGAGGCTGGGATGGCGCGGCCGAACCCGCGCCTTGGCGTTCTTCTTCAGACCCCCTTGTCCACAAATGCAACCAGATTTTGGCCAATAACAATGGCAGAAAAGACGTGGATGACTGGGTAGCAATTCGCACGACCTGTATACCCAGCGGGAGCGCAAGCACGTCTATCGCCAAAGAACCAGACACCGGGAAACTGCCAGCGCACACCAGCCTGCGAGGCCCACGGCATAGCAGACGCTCACAACCCTTGGGGCCCAGAAGGGTGACACACAACACTGCGTTTGCCCGCGTCATCACCCGCCAAAAGTCGTGTAATTAGTCAGCCATCGACTGAGAGGCACTACCCATGTACACACACACACTTCTCACATGCGTAAGAGTGCCACAGATTCGGCAATCGCAGAGCCGGTCACAGGCTGACGGGATCTGTCAAAGGCCATTCGGCATTTCGAACGGTTCAAAGACACCATTATTTTCTACGTTCTGCACGAAGCTCAGCTCTGTTGGACCTCGTCCTAGTGGCACGCATGGGAATGACAAAGACTTCCGCAGCAATGTCGTGAAGTCTTATGCCGTGGTAGTTTTCTCACTTTCGCCCTTCTCGAAAACGAGCGAGGATACCAGAGCCCCAGTGATAAGGGACGAGCTAATTCTCCCGCGTTCAGTTTTCTCATGGAGCCTGGGCGCCAACGTGCTCACCTGCGGATTTTAGTAGGAACACCGTCCTCCAGAAGCCTTGCATAGGCTAGAAAGGGATACATGAAGTGATATGCGCTGGTCTAGGAAGTGGATATCTTCGGTTTGCTTTGAAGCTAAGGATCTATAACTTGCGCAAGCGGTTGCATGGCGACTAGGAATCAGTCGACACACTTGGTCAACACTGGAATGGCAACTTGTGGTTTATTTGCGCTGATCTATCAGTGATGCCCCAAGCCCAGGCTGCGCGCCCAAATTTCGAACCTGAATCATTTGATCTTACCTACTTATACTTGATACGGCTGCGATCATGCCTGATCTAGCCGGCCTCGATGATGTCACGAACTGTACCTCTCCACGCGTGACGATCCGCGGCAGCAGGTCTGGACAGCTCAACCCATTCCCTTCGCCAACGACGGAGACCGAATACCGAAGGTCCGAGAACCACCTCCATGTCTTGACGAACTGTGTCGAGCCAGGTTTTGGACTGACCCCCTCTTTGACGCCTCCAATGGGGCAACGGTGCCGGATCGAGGGCAGTAACACTGAGCTGCTGAGGTGGACGACGAAGAACATGTCCAGCCCACCTCAGTCGTCCTTCTTGGATGGCCTGAGTTATCCTTGCGATGTTGTCGCAGCGAGCGCGGACTGTCTCATTTGAGACGAAGTCGGTGAACTTCACTCGAAGGATGATCCTCAAGCAGTGGTTGTCAAATACCTCCAGTTTTCGCTCGTACTCCACGCACAAAGCCCAGCATTCACAGCCGTAGAGAAAGACGGACCGGACAGATGCACGATACGCGCGAATCTTAGTGGCGATGGAGAGATCGCGTCGGATCCATAGACATTTTCGAAGGCTTGGGAAAACCCGGCGGGCAGCATCAGTTCGGGAGATAATGTCATCCTTACTCTGTCTATTAGGCAGCAGCCTTGCCCCGAGGTATTTAAAACTGTCTACTTCTTCAAGTTGACAGCCATCAATCCCCAGGGATGCCTTCTGGTCGGGGATGCAGCTTGACAATACTTTGTTCTTCCCAGCGTTTATGGACAAACCGGCTGATTTAACGACCTCGTTCACCCGTGACACCATAGGCTGTAGATCACCAAAGCTTGAAGCAAGTAAGGAGATATCATCGGCATAGTCGAGATCAGTCGGTCGGTGTCCGGGTGCAAGCTCAACGCCGTCACCCACGTGTAGGGCCTTCCCGAGGATCCAGTCAATAGTTTAGTTGAACAGAATGGGCGACAGGATACAACCCTGTCGAACGCCAGACCGAATACTGAACGGTTGGGAAAGATTGTTACGGGCCAGAACTCTCGCAGTAACGCCCTCGCTACTGCACTTCAGACTCACGTTACGTCAGATAGGTCGTGAATAACAACCCTATGGTCCCTTTCTTCATCAGGCGCGCATCTGATTTTGACAATTTTCTAGGCTTTCAGGCTATTCAGCACCTAGCTAGAGTTTACTTCTTATGACCCGTCTCCTACACGTAGAGATATCACGGAATCCCTCCCTCCCCTCTGTTTCGACAGTCCTTTCGCTACAGTCATCTGATAGGAAGTTTTATTCTTAGTACAGTCTAACATCCGTTCTCCCACATTTCATAAGGACTGTTCCACCCAGCTACCTGAATCCACTGCGTCATCTCATTCTTGGTGCCTAACCCACGTGTGTTCAACCGCGAAGCTGTCCTGGGCCCGACGGCCACACCTCACTAACGACTCAGTGGCCTGAAGTTGCGTCAACGCACGCTCCACATGTGGTGGTTCACATGGCCCAGGCGTAAGAGGAAGGGGTTTCAGATTCCTTGTAATTTAGAGCGCAATAGAGGCCACACTCAGCGCCGAGTAGAAACGAGCTGTCAACTGGAAGCTTTTAGAGTCAATCGTTAGCGTGTTATTATGGTGTGAAAAATGCATTCGCTTGCGGAACTATCCGCCGAATCGACCTCGCTTTCCATCCTCCACAGTGCGTGACCGATCTCATGAATTGTTTGCCGGAGTTCTGAAATGCCTTTTCGACCAGGAAGGATTAATCAGGTGGCGTTGTAATATTAATTATCATGTAGCATAATCCTATAGTATATCGGACTCGCCAGGATGTCGCCTTTTGGATGAACTTTTTTCTGATCTTTCGCAGAAACTGAACTCGGTAAAAAATGACTACTTAAATAACATGCACCATTCACACCTATTTTGAATGGTCATACAAATTCAAATATATTTTATAGAAAACATGCACAAAAATATGCTTTCTTATACCTATTTGGTAGAAAATCAAATTTTCTTCATATTTTATACCCGAAAAAGTGTGTATTTAGGTTTTGAAAGTTTCCCAAATCCCGAATAATTTTGGGTCTCGTCAGTCGTTGCATTCTCGTTTAGCGATTTCAGTCTACAAGCTGCATGCGTTCCGCGTAAGGAAAATCATATATTCCTCTGTGCCTTTCAGAAGATACTGTATAATGTTCATAAAATTTTGCAATGGATACGGGCTATGTTGTACACTTCAAGAGGAACATTTGTTAAACGGGCACGTGGCACAATGTATATACAAACATCAAATGGCCATAAAAACCTCATTATTAGAAACCGAAAGATAACCTTTCCTAGCGCATAAACTATAAAGTCAATGTGGTTTTCTATCAAACAAGTATAAGAAAGCGTATTTTATGCATGTTTTCTGTAAAATATGTTTGAATTTGTATGACCATCCAAAATAGGTGTGAAAAATGAATGCTACTTAAGTAGTCATTCCCTACCGAGTTCGGTTTCTGCGGGAGATCAGAAAGAAGTGCATTCAAAAGTCGACATCCTGACGAGTCCGATATCCTTTACTACATGCAAATGAATATTACAACGCCACCTTATCAATCCTTCCTAGTCGAAAACGCACTTCAGAATTTAGACCAACATTTCATGAGATCAGTCACGCACTGTAACTTGACACAGATTACTTTAGTCAGTTTTAGTAGAACTAGCTTTTTATATTCCACGCACCCCAAAATAACCGCCACTTCTCTGTTATTTGTTGGCGATTTTTAACTTATATAGTATCGAATGCCTTCTCTGTATTTTGCCTCTCCAGATCCCGGTAGCATTGCCGCTGCGACCGGTGTTTCAAGCGCTGCCAGTGCCCTGGATAGCAAACGTAGGATATCGGGAGACAGTACCGTCTACGCAGATCGTTTCCAGTCGCCCGGGCCTCTTGATGCCAACTCCATGAAAACGGGCAGTATCGAATCTGCTAGTGTCGTCCCAGCAGTTCCTACCTCGCCCTTTCACTTGACCCCGGTTTCGCCTACCAATGCGGCAGCTGGAGTACCAGAAACAGTCCCCAGGAGCGTCTTGTCGCCTCCCAGCGCTACTGGTGTTAGTTCTGGTGGCGGCCTTGCTGGGCAGCTGACCCCCGCCGCTACCGGTGCTACCTCTCCTTCACAGAGTGACTTTCGGAGGATGTCTCGATGCAGCAGCAATAACAGCCCGCCATCGCCAATTCCACAAACCTCTAATGAGCCAACAGTTGCCTCCACATCTTTCTCTTCGCCTCCTTCGCAATCCTACCTGGTCCAGGGACAGCCAGTTCTACCCACATATGGCGGTGGCGATTATCCACTTCAGCTGCAGACCACATCATGTGCCTTCAGTCCACAGATCCCAGTCAGTTTTGTCGGACGGCCACCACGCACTGCTCCCTCTGTGAGCTCTATTGACGCTGCTATAGCTGCTGTCGCCGCCATGTCGATTGGTCAGGGTGCTAGTCCGGCCGCAGCAGCGACGGCGCCCATCAGTCACGTAGTCCCGAGTGCCGCGACTTTGCAGCCACCTCCGGGGCTACACATGCTCTGTCCGCAGCTTGGAGAACGTGGCCATGTTGGGGGTCCGACTCAGCAGCACCCAATTCCAGCGCCCTATCGAGGTTTGATGACCACTCCGGACCAGTCCCCCATGGTAGCCGGCTCTGCGGCACAGCACGCGGCCACTGGCGGACACCAGGATGCCACTTTTGCAGCCCTTACCGCTCTGGCTCAAGTGTACCAACAGCAACAACAAAACATGCACAGAGGTCCACCTGTTCAGGTCCAGCCCGGTCAACCGATGTACCCCTACCAGATGCACCTTCAGACAGCTGGTCGACGAAGTACGCCACCACCGAATCACCCGACACATGCCTACTACCACCTGGCGGCCGTTCATCAGTCTCTGCAGTTTCCCCAACTGCCTCAGCCGCAGCAGAACCAGGCACAGTTTTTCTCCATGCAGAAACCGGCACCTGGTGCGCTCTCAGCTTTCCCATTCACGGCCGCTGCTGGGGCCGTTGATGGCGGTTACGCCGGCTTTCGTGGGGGAGCGGCTGCAGGTAGTGCTGGCACTGGTGCCGCCGGCTTCCCGCCCCAACACTTCATCTCGGAGTCGGTTCTCGGCAATACGTGGGACACAGCAAATGCTCTAGCGGCTGCCGCAGCCGTTACTACGGGCATTCAACTGCAGTACACCGCAAACCCGTCGGTTGGTGGGCTTCCGATGGCCTTTGATCAACTCTCTGTTCACAATCCTCACCGTCCTCAAATTGTGTGGCATCAGCATATGAACCCAGTGACTGCTGCTGCTGTGAAGATTCCTGGCTTCGACACCTCGCCAGCAAATACGCTTCCCTCGATGCCGTCAACCACAGCTTCTGTCTCCTCACTGGCGCCGTCAAAGCCGGTAGAAGTGCATCCTTGCGCTGTGGATGATCCCTCCATTGTCGCTGTTACCGATTCCGGCGAAGCTGGCTCCAACCTAAAGTCAGTCCCCATGTCCGTTGCGACGACGGCGGCGTCGTCCACGAGTGCCGCCACTGTCTCAAGTACAAAACTGCACACTGTGACCGCGGAGCCCAACACCGCGAATGCCCCACGATCGGGTAAGGGAAAGTATAGACCGCACCAAAAGCCTCACGCCTCTCGCACTGTAACTTCTGTCGACGGTATGTCTGCGGGTTCCACCAGCTCACCTCCGCGTAGCCTCCCATCCAGCTCCGATTTCAAGGACCGACCGCAGTCAGCTCTTAGTTTACCAGTGCAAAAGACGACTCCAGAATTGAAACAACATCAGAATACCGAACCGCTGTTGGCCTGCGACCTAGGCACCAGTTTACATTCAAACCCGGATTGATGCCATTTGAAGGCAAGGTTATCTGTTGTCGCATACGCAGCCGCAATCTCCTCCCGTTGGTCTCCATCAGTACATCATTCTAACCACTTCCATTTGCCCACTTTTTCTTCCTAAAATTGCTCTCTTCCTATCTAGGGCCGATCTATACGTGTTTCATTAGTATCCCCCCTCCCCTCCCCCAGACGAAACCATGCCACCACTTTCGCCTACAACTGGGCATTTTCTAGCTTGTACAACAATCTGTCATCCTTTTTGACATCCCACTTCGTCATCCAAAACGTCCAAAAATAAGACGCCCTTTTTATCTTCGTTTTCCGCCATCGCCTCTCATCTCCCCTTTTATATTTGTTAGGTCTGATTGAAATTTTTCGCCAGTTAAACCACAGGACTCCCAACGGCCATTTACCACTATTATTGTCCTATTAGCGCACGCATAACTGTAGAGATTATCAGTTCACACTTTAATGCCCGACTGCCTTCATTAGATTCGCATGTTCCTGTGATATTTTATTCACATCCGCTCGGAGAAAATACCCCGCCTTTCCCGTTAAGTTCATTTGATGCACTGTTGTCCATCGGCGTTAGCACTGGCTTGCGCTGTGTCTATGCAGTCGTTTCCCTCCTCCTCCTCTGGCACTCTCCAGCGTCTACAATTCGTTAAAAAAAGTTAACGCAGAGTAAGAAAATAAAAAATTGCATTTTCTGTCCCACCTGCCCTCCCCTCGCGCTCTCAACAAGCATCTGCTAATCCCTCGCCGTTGAGGTGGAAAAAGTTTTTCGAGTCCTCTACCCCACACCACCCCTCCACCTCAACGGCTGCCGGTCCGTCGTATACGATCTGAAGACTTGCGGCATAAGAAGATCATCCTGGAGTACCCAGATGGCGTCGCTGCCGTCGACAACAGCACTCTTCACTCCTGCGCGATTTTTAAGGCTTAGTCGCGTCTGTTAACCCCCTAGCGCCCCTCTCCCCATTCTTCTGTCCTTTAGTTCTCTGCCTGTCTGTTTCTTCTCTCTTACCTCGCCAACTGTTTCCCCATCTTCCTAATCTTTCTCGCTGAGGACTGTTCTTTCCGATGGCTCGGATATCTCTCAAGCACAGCAGCCCCTTGTGTGCAGACTGCTCTTACCCATTGATGTTTCACTCTTTCTCTTGATACAGTGTTCTTTGAGTTGACACCCTTGACTGGAACTTGCTGGGCGGTTAAGGTTATTACTACCTTCGTCGCTGGTCTAGTAGACGATACTAGAGAATATTCTGGGTGTCATACTCAATGGGATCTGTCGCAGTTCTGGGTATGAGCGAATGTTCTCATCTGATCTCCTTGCGTGGTCATTTAATGCTCTTAGTCGGTCTAGTGACTGAAGGTCGTTGACAGGTCTCACTAACATTACTAAGGCGGGTTGGCACTCCTTTTCACCATACATTTCCTACCGTCGTTTGATGGCCCCGTTGGCTTTATTTTAATTGGTAGGATCTGGACTGCTGGAAATCCTTCAAGGGCACGACCTGGTGTGGCAGTGTAGACCACTCATTAAGACGGCAGTCGCCGTTTGGGGCCAGCGTAATTGTCCCAAAGTCTGCGTCAATATGTTGCCAGCACCGACTTGTTCGGGTAGCGGCGGCAGTGGTCACGACGTTCTGATTCGGCGCGGTGCAGCCCCTGTGTTCGTCCTCAAAAGACGTGAACGAAGGTCGGTGGTGAACTTGACGAAGTGGGGAACGTCCCAACCACACTCCTCGCTGCCCTCATTTTTGTTGGAGGACAGCAGGGTTAGCCCCGGTCTCGGGAAATGGGCGATAGGTCCTTCGGTGGGTTGTCGTTTTTCCCGGAATCGAGGGCTGCCGCCCACAGAAGGCACAGCAGCAGTGGACGGGCCTGGACCGGTCGGACAATGAATGTTAGCGGTTTGACCATTGCAACCCGTCAAGCTTTCCGGACGTTGGATTGCGTTGCCGAATTGAGGTACCGTGTGGGATTGCCCGGAGCAGTGCTCACGGAGACTCCGAATAGTACAAGAGGAGTCGTCTGGACGGCTGTGGGTTTCGACTGATGTCCAGTGCTCACCAAGCACATTCTGCGTGGGTGTGCGTTTGAAGACAAATCGTCTCACT